GGTAAGTAGTCATTTCTCTCAGTGCTTTTAAGATTTCTTCTTTATTTTCAGTTTTCAGAAGTTTAATTATGACATCTTGGCATTAATTTCGCTGGGTCTATCCTTGGGTCTATCTTTCTTTTACTGATTTCTAATTTCTTCTTAAATCTGTAGGTTTATGTTTCTTTCCAAATTAAAATTTTGGCCATTATTCTTCAAGACTTCTTCAGTTCCACTTTCTTTCTCCTCGCTTTCTGAAACTCCGATGACAAGGTTAGAGCTTCTGTTACAGTCACACAAATTCCTGAGGCAATGTTCAGTTTACTTCAGTCTATTTTCTCTCTGGTGTTCAGATTGGGTGGTTTCTATTGTTCTGTCTTCCGGTTCACTGATTTTTCCCTCCGTCCTTCCATTCTGCTGTTGAGTTCCATCACTGTACTTTCTATTTTAATTATATTTTCCACTTCTAAAATTCCCATTTGGTTCATCTTTATATCTTCTGTTTCTTTGCTGAGAATTTCTACTTCTTTACTAAGGCTTTCTATTTTTTCATTTGTTTCAAACACGTATATAATTGCTTTTTAAAGCATTTTTAGCATGGCTGGTATAAAATCTTTGTTAGATAATTCCACCATTTCTGTTATCTTGGTTTGGGAAATCTATTGGTTGTCGTTTTTTTTATCCAGTGGAGATCTTCCTGGTTCTCAGTGTAACAAGTGATATTTGACTGAAATCTGGACATTTTCACATTGTTATGAGACTCTGGATCTTATTTAAATGTTCTGTTTTTGCTGGCTTTCTCTGATACTGCTCCAGCCTCTGCCTCAGGTGGAGATAGAAGTCCAGGTTCTCCATTTGGCATCTGTTAATGCCCAAGGGTGGAGGGCTCCTTGTTACAGCTGGTTCTGGTTCTCCGTATGGTCTCCACTGACACCACGGTGTGGGCAGCCTTGCTACCACTTGGCCACGGTGGTGGTCCTGACTCTCCACCAGGCTTTCTCTGACACCACCTCAATAGGATGAGGATGCTGTGGTGTGGGGAAGGAAATCCAGGATTCCAATATGGTCTCCATGGATACCACAGAGAGTGGGCTTATTCTTGTCCAGCAGGGACAAAAATCACAGCTCTCTACTTGGCCATCTTTGACACCACCCCAGCAGGGGTGGGGCTGGAGCACCTTTACACCAGTTGCGTGTAAGTCTAGGCTCCCCATTCAGCCCTTCCTGGCATTGTAGTTGTGAGGCACAGTTTCTTCTGTGGTGTTTGGCTGGAGTGACTATGCTCTATACATTTTCTGTGTTGCTAGGCTGCCCCCTTCTAGGTCCTTTGGCTAAATAGAGATCAGGCTTTTACTGGGACTTTTATTGGTCTGTGCTCACTGGCATTTCCAGGTGGCCAAAGTCTCCAGCTCCAAGTCTGGGTTATTTAAGGTAGAAGAAAACCCAGAGAACTCAAGTTGTGTCTTGAGTCCCAAAGTCCTTAGCCAGTCTGTCTTTTTACCTTTTGAAATCTTCTTTGTTTTATACATAATGGCCAGTGTTTTAGTTGTACTTAGTGAGAGGAATAGGGAAAAATATATCTCCGTCTTTCCAGAAGCAAAAGTTCCTAACTAAAATTTTAAACAATTTGATATCTACTACTCTAAATAACATTCAAAAATAGATAATAAACTAGAGTACATAAATTCAATTGAATAATACTCAATTGTTAAAAAAAAAAAAGAAACAGTTGTATTGTAATGATACAAAATGACTGCCAAAATGTATAGTGATAAAAGCAAGGTATAAATGATGTGTACAGGATGTGATTTGTGCAAAACGGAGAACAAAAGAATAAATATGTGCACATGTTAGTACATGAAAGAGCCCTTATAAAAAAGTGTTATACAAGAAATTTGCAATAGAGATGCCTTTGGGGAGGAAAAATGGAAAACTAAGGGAAAAGGCAGTGGGGTGAGAAGAAGGGGACTAAACTTTTGAAAATGTTACCTTTTGAAAAAAGTAAATATGTTTTTAAATAAAAAATTTTATCTTGCAAAATAAGTAGGCAAACATATGAAAATACTGTGGATGACTAACGAAGAAATCTATATAGTTTTAGAAAACACTATATATAGTAATAGCAAAAGAATTAATAGTTCAGTGGATGAGAACAGAATAATAGAACTAGTTCTAGGAATTAGAATACAACCTAGTACAGATGAACTACTTTCCTACTTTTAAATTGTTGTTTGAGATTCTGATATAATGGCAAGCTAGGTACCTGAGTCAACCTTCCTGCTGAAAACTAGGAGGAAAGAGGAAAATGGACACAGCAGCCTGGATCACCCCCTCTCAGCACACATGTCCTCAGATGAGTCACCCTGTTCCCCTAGATGAGCTTTATTCACTTCATTTCAATGAAGACGCAATGACACAAATCAACACTAGGAGAGCGGCAAAGTGAAAAGAACGCAGTGCTTAAGGGTTAGAGTTTGGATTCAAATCTCTGTTTCACCACCTGGGAATGGTGTGATTTCCTGTCATGTACTTAACCTGTCATTTGCCTGGGAGGCCACTCTCAGGGTTCTAGTGAGAGCTAAGCAGGAATGTGCAGGAAGGTCTGGCACGATGCCTGGTGCTCAGCACATGCTCAGTAAATCTTAACTGGCTCTGATTAACACAGACTAAGTGGAGCCAAGGGGTTACTCTCCAGAAAAATAGCTCTCATCCTTGCTCAGTTATCTGAGGAATTTTATTTAATCAAGTAACAGAACAGAATGTCAGCAAAGCAAATCTACAGAGTCTAAGATCAGCGGACTAGCTGTTAAATGCGAACCATGAGGAAAGCAAGTCTAGATCTCAGTCACTTAGGAAGAAATCAAAGAACATACCCAAAGTAACCTTTCCACTCAATAGTAATAGTTGAAAAACCCAAAACAGTTTTATGGATGCAGCTAGAAAATTCCCACATTCTATAAAAGGACCAGAGTAGCAGACCTTTGGCGCCACAAATAATGGCTCAAAGCCTGATTAACAGGCTTGAGATGGACAAAAAGAGAGAAAGAGAAACAACAGCATTTCAAAAATCAAACCACCAGTGGTCATGTCTCTAATTTCCTGGAACATATTCAAAATATTTCTATACTAAAGTGCAGGACGACAGGTCACGACACACTCACACATTATGTGAACACTAATGTACAGTCAATGAGGACCGGGGGACACACAGGGGCTCATGCAGTAGGAGGGGAAAGGCATGGGGTGGGCATGTATTCCTGTGTGTTACACATGTATGTAAGTAGTTTGCTAAAATAACATTTCATAAAGGTTATCAACCGATTTCATCATAAAATCAAAGTACAATAAACTCAGCTAAAAGCATCAAAATGAACAGCTTATTAAGCAAAAATATATAATTGTAGTATCTTGAGGCAACAATAATAACCAAGACATTTTCAAAAAAAGGAAAGGTCTTCTTCAACATGAGTATATCAGTTAAGTCAACTTTTGGTAAATCCATGTTTTAATTTTAAGAAATAACCAAAGTCAAGGAGCTTCCAGATTCTATTTTAAGGCAAGAGAACCAGATGGGAGGGTGAAGGGGAACTGCAAGGAAGGTGACTTATGTCTCCAATCCAGACCCGGAGTTCAGAGGTAAGTCTTGCCCACCTCCAAAATACAAATTCCAAACAGACATAGGAGATTACTTCAAAAAGTTCATGGAATGATTCATTATCTTTTAATTTTCTTTTTCCACAGACTTTTCAAAGTATACTCATACATGTTAAGCACAAATGAATTTTCTATTCCTACACATTTGTGACTGTTCAGGCTGTTGGTGGACACAGGAGTAAAATCAGGTCCTCTGGCATTGCCAAAGCAGTGACATCAGTTAAACCTGGCCAACTTCTCTAAACCCGGCACTCTGAAAACCTGCCAGGTTTTGTAATTGTGAGGAAATCAAGACCATCCTGCTATTCAAATGTCCCCAAGGGTCTTGTGCAAGCTCAGTCTCACACTCCTCCACTAGTTAGTCAGGTGGGCTAAGCCACTGGCTCCCCTAAGAGTCCCATTCTGTACGCATTTACTGAATATCTTCCAAGCGCCAGACTTCTTACAAGAGTCTGGGAATGAGCTCAGATTGTTCATCAACATGGTCCTATGTTTCTCCTACTTTTCCACAAATTACAGGGCACCAGCCTGACACGGAGTCACGCACCACGGCAGTGTCCTCTCACCATTAACTCCACTTGTCAAACCTGACTACCATTTGCTAATTAAATCCTTATAAAGCAAACATATCTCACTTGCACATTTCAAAGAATCAATTATTTGGCCCAGTGTAAACACAAAAGTGAAAAAATTCACATTCCGTGTAAAATAATGAGGACAAGAGCTAACTCTTCATGTTTTTGTCCCTGGGCTTACTGTTCTTGGCAAACCACTAAAATGAAGCTATTTTTATCCTACAGCTACAGGAATGCTCACAGGTAACTCCCTTGCTAACTAACATGCTGGAAGTGACAGAGAAGTGGCTTAAATCTGAAAGCCTCCCTCTATTTCCTGAGATTGAAAACATGAAACTATAAACAGCTCTAAAGAATAACAGAAATTATGAGACACAACATATATATTAATAGTAGATATAATCAATGGGGTGAAACTAAGCATTCAAACAGACCAAAAGATTATCCAGTAATTCAGGAAAAGGCTAAAACACTTGAGTTACGGGGATATCAGATAATCCGATCAAAATGAGTTACTGTGGAAAGCTCCTTTTCAATAAACACAAACAAGAAACAAGTCCAGACTGAGGTTCACAGTTACATTAGAAACAGATCTGAACTGAAAATGCAAATGCCTATGTTCTGCTCCCTGATCCATGACTAAGTAGGTAGGAGACTTCAGCAAGTCGTTTAATCTTTTGGTCCTTACAGTGATTGGACCAGATGGTACCTGTTATCACTGTGACCTTTCTTCCTCTCCAGCTTTAAAATCACATGATCCTATGAAATGAAAATGCAAAGGTACGGTATTACCATGTCATTGCAGTCAGATGGGTCATAAGTGCTCTGCTTAAAAACTTTACAGAGTTCCATAAATTCTTCATTCATCTCATGGATTTGTTCATTTAAAATTGATCCCTTGGTACCGCCAAATTCCAGTCTTTCCAGCTTTTCAAATTCCAACATGGTGACAAATATATCCTTTGTAAAAACATAAAGACCGTTCAGTACATACAGTAAAAAACCTTTCCACCATCTTGAGCAGGAAAAGAATATTTTAAAGATTCAAATAAAGAATATTTTCAAACATTCAAAATCAGTGATTCCATGAACACTTACATGACAGAAAGTAAATATTAATGATTTCACTGAGTAAAAGAACTGCTAATTTTAGAAGTCACACTCCCATTTTCATATTTACTGAAAATCATCTCACAGTACAGGAAACCCCTAATATACCATAGCTAGACATATGACTCCCCTAATTTCACATCCTCCTAATCACAAGTCAGATCCCCAGATAATATCCACGACTCATTTTCAGCCTATACTTAGCAGTGAATCACCTTCTTTGTAGAAAAGAAACTGAAGAGACTGTTAGGAGAGTGGTTCACATGTCGCCCTTTGTCAGGCATTTAGCATTCAGAAACTTTGAGAGGCATTCAGCCTAAGTAATAATGAGAATTTTCAAAACATAAAGCTCCAACTTTTAATGAAATTTTAAAAACCTTACATCAATGAAAAAGCCCAAAATTGTTAAAAAGAGTTTTACAAAGAAAATAAGGCAGTGTCATCAATTCAAACTTTTTACAAAACACCTTAGCCAGTAGGCTCCATACAAGCATGTGTGCGTGTATTCATTTGATTTTTGGTTCTTAGGTATTTAAAACATATCTATACTGAGCACATATTTCCATGTTCTTTTCATTTATTTTTATCAATGATTTTAATATTTTATAGTATACTATATATTCAAATACTAAAAGATAATAAGATATTTAAAATTATCAGATGGATTTTTAGGTATGAAATTTCAATTTCAAAGATTAAATTCAAAGGGTAAAAGGGAATTTGTTTATAGGAGATTAGTGTTTTAATATTTTATAGTATACTATATATTCAAATACTAAAAGATAATAAGATATTTAAAATTATCAGATGGATTTTTAGGTATAAAATTTCAATTTCAAAGATTAAATTCAAAGGGTAAAAGGGAATTTGTTTATAGGAGATTAGTTTACAGCTTCCTGACATACAACTCTCTTCCAAGAACTTAATAAATTGTAGGTCAAGGGTCACTGATACATAGAGATTTACTTATATTCGGTGTGATAACAGAATCAAAAGTGAATGAAAGAAGCCATATTAAAGCTTTTAAAACTATCCTTATATCCTTTTAGCACTGGTGTAATGAGCTCCTCATGAGAATCACTAAGAAAGGAGACTTCCCACCCACCACAAGCTGTTCTATGAATCGTGAAGAGCTACAAACTTTTTGAACCCACCCATAATATAAATAAAGTTAATAAATGCATACCTCTATTTTCATTAAATGATCAAGAAACTTGTCAAATCTGCAGAACACCAGATGAGACTGGAAATCCCACAGTCTCAGCTCCTTACTTCCTGTGAAATAGCTTGCCAATCTTTTTCTGTAGTTGAAAAAAGAATTTTTGAAAGTCTTGAAGATGTTAATGGCCACCTGCACCTTT